TGTTTGATTATACCTAGTATTGGTCAATCATTGGTCAGACAAAATTCTAAGTAGTTTAACACGACTATTGGTTATACGTTTAAGTAGTAAAATCAATATTTCGTTGAAAAATCATATTAAAGGAAAAATTGTTGACTTTATTATGAATAAAATTAATTATTACATACAGGGTGATATCAAAAAAGTTGATTCTTGCAAATATTTATTAAAAATCTTTTACAGAGTATAATTAAAATAAATGATTAAAAATAGTCATTGTGTGTTGGTAAATGTTTGTGAATCAAACGAACTGATAATAATAATTATTATTATTATTATTGTTACATGCATTTGTCTATCTCTCGACTTTATGTAATAAATTATTAAACGTAAATTGAAATGTTGCATCAGTCTGTAGAAACAAAGTTAATTTTGAGATATTTTAATTTAGGAGTTATTTCGCAAACAGGATTATTGTATTCAGGTTTTATCATGAGAGAAGAGCTAGGACAATAAGATTCCAACATAAAGAGAATGAGAGCTAGATTAGCATGATATATTTAGTTAACTAAATAACAGTACCAGGTCTTTCTCCTATTGAAAATTAAGAGATTACAATCAACATTGATTCACTACTACTATTTCTATTACTATTACTTCATTACTACTTTATTACTACTCCAAATGATCCTGTCAAGTCTGGTAAGCCAGTACAAGCAGAGTTAAATTGTATGATATTTGCTTTAAGTAATTAACCGTTCATGCGGTAATGTCTCTTCCCTAAGTAACTACTTTCTTCCTTTCCCCTCTTTCCCCTTTCCCTCTTTTTGTTTCTCTATCTTGTCTACCCGGTGATCTATTAATTACGTACAAATATTATACCACGATATTATAGAGCTTATTTTGTATCTCAAGCTATCTGTAGCAGGGATAAATTTTATCCTTCCATTTACCTCTCCACCCTCCAGCCCCAGCCTACAGTTTTGAAATAAGGAAACGTCTAATGTCAATTTTACGACCGAATAAAAATGTCAAACGTTATCTTTCTTAAACAAAGATAAATCGTCTCGTAAGTATTACGTTAATTCTAAATTATCTTCTAGTCGTATTCGAACAATTTATAGTTCGAACGAATTTAGTTTGTAAATCAGGTCAAATCCTTGATCGATAGATCAGAAAATAAAGTTTGTTAGAATTTCTAATACCGTCGATAGATTAGTTCTAACCTCACTAGGATTAGAATAACTAATTCGTAGGTTTATATATAATATGAAGACAATGGAAAGTACTTAGGTTTGAATATTTGAAAGAGCTTTCAAAGCTCAAGCTTAATTGATTTATTAAATCTTAATGTTAATTATAGTATCAACGATTTTAACAACTTCCAAATCTGTTTTATGACAGTTTAATGTCATTCATTTTAGTAATCTGATTATACTTGCTAAAAGTTTAATCAATTTATTTGTAAAAGATAAAAGTATCCGGGTATAGTTAACGATTCGTTACGAAGATGCGAAAACGTTAAGATTTATAATATTAATTTATAAATAATAATATTACATTCAACCCTTATATATATATAAAATCATCACACTTATCATCATACTTTGCACACATCAAATTTAATATCCTAACTAAGTTAAACATTTAATAAAAATAAATTTATGTAAAACAAAAATTGAAAAAATATTTAAATGTTGAATTAAAGCGTGCAAAGGGTTAATAATGATAATAATACAAAGACTCACCTAAAGTAGTTAGAACTGTTAGAGAGTAAAGGAATGCTTTAGCGAAGTTCCACTCGTATTCAGGTATTCGTCGTTCTGTAACACTATCACCATTAACACCTGTACTGCCAGTGTACGTGCCAGTATTTTGAGTAGCCATCATGTCTTCAGTGATCCTTTTCACCAGTTGATCCTGAAACCGTGAGATCTCTTGGGCAGCCAATCTCGTCCAATTTTCACGGTAAAGAATGTTCAAGCTTTCGGTTAATATCCAAATATTTTCAACAGTCTTTGCGCGTGCCTCGTTGTTAACCTTTAAAATACAAATTAAAATTGAACATACGTATATTATTATTATTATAATTATTATTTAATAAAAGAAACAACGTCAACATTAAATTAACATTTAGATGGGTTGATATTTGAAAATAATCAAATAAATTATGTGATTATTTTAGAAAAATAATCAATTAAATTATTTAATGAAAATTACCTGCTTTAACCATGCCGTGGTGTTTCTTTTAGCAGGTTGACTAACAGCAATGGTTGCCAATGCTCGATGAATTCCAACATTATCAGTTCCCCCTTCTATCGCAAGAAATATGAAACTTCCTAACAACGTATACGCAACCATAAGTGCACATATACCAAGGTTTATAGCGAAACCCTTTAGGAAGGATTGTTGGCTGGCCTTGTCTGGTATTCCACCAAAACAGAGACATCTTACTTGTCTAGATGGGTGTAACGTTTTAGGATGTTCAGACGAACTAGTTGTTGTTGTTGTTGTCGTAGACGTTGTTGTTCTTTTAAGAGACGAGGTATTGCCATTATTGGCAGGCTTGAAACCCTCGTAAGCCCTATAATGTCTAACGTTGTCCTTCTCCATTCTCCCTCCTCTCAACCTTTTTCCTCAAAGGATCACCTTAATATTTTTCTTAACGACAGGAACAAACATTTGTCGCAATTTAACAATACCACCGTTTGCTTTTTATTTGATATTACTCCCGTAGATACCATTTGCTTATATTTTTTACTATATCTCATTAAAATGAACAATCTCTAATGTGTCTTTGATTTTTTTCCTTTTTGTTTATTGCTTATTTGTTATATTATAATATTGGATTAGATTAATTTTAATTAAGTTTTTTCTAATTCCTCCACAAGGTTTTGTTTTAATAACACAGTTATCACGAATATTATGATTTTCTATTTTATTTTGGTTTCGTTTGTTTTGTTTTCTTTCGTTCTATCTGTTTTATTCTTTTCGATTATTCCAAAGAAATCTCATTCATGTCAAGGAATCGAATCCTCGTAGCTCAATCGGGTTTCCCTTTTCCGACGCATCCATGTATACCCTTCTCCTCGAATTACTGATTTCGGATTAAGTTTAATCCGATTTGCTGAAGGTACTTTTCTTTCTCTCAACGATGCTATTTGATTTAACGAAACCTTGACTACACTATCTTCGTACATATATATATATATATTTTTTCTTTGTTATTTCAATTTATCATGATACAATCATGATACATTATGATTTTACATCAAATAATATCTGATCTTTCTTTATTGTTTTTTTCTTTACATTCATTTACGTTCGTGTTCATTTTATTTTATATATTTCATATTTCTTTTTGTATTTTTCTCGTATCGAGACGTAATTTGATTTCACGTTTGTTTGCACGTTTTAAGATAAGACGTTACGTTACTTAAAAATATTTCATTCCAGGCAAAATGGTGGTGTCTGCGTCCTTTTTTCTTTTTCTTTTTCTTTTTTTTTTTATCCCATTATTATCTTATCCAGTAACACCGAGATTCTTATTACGTCGCTCGACGAGATTCAATCGACTGAACTGAGATTGTCGTTTCAATTCATTCGAACGAAGGAACGTGAAAGGTATGATCTATCCTACTCGAAACGAGCCAAGATATTTTCTTCATCTTTTTTTTGTTTTCTGTTCTTGTCCCCCCCCCCTTTCTTTTTTTTTCAAACGTACTATCTACAACTTTCAATTTCCACTTGTTTTTTTGTTGTAAACCCGTCCCCCACGGTTAGATTCTCTGCAATCAGAAAAATATACGCCTAATGTATTATCATGTTTGAATTTTATTTTTTATTCACAATTGGAAATAATTTTATTGTTTATTTTTTAAAAATGATCTAAGTTTATGTACCGTTTGATAATTGTAATAAAATTGAATTTATATTTTTGACGATGATTTAAAAATTCTATGTTAATGAGTTCGATTAATATATTTTTTTCTTTCCCCTTCCCTCTCTTCTCTCTTTGTCCGACTTAAAAAAAATACTTTCAATCGGATTCCGTAAAAAGAATATTTAACAACCGTATATATTAATCTTAATTCTTTGTTTATTCGACTCCAATTATTATCATGATTTCGAATTTTATCTCTTCCTACAATTCGACTTTATTTTTCTCTCGATGAGAAGTTAAAGATTCAATGTTAATGCGTTCGAATAAAATATTTTTCTTTCCCCCACACCTACTCACCCACCTCTCACTCTATCTCTCTCTTACTCTAAGTTAAAAAAAAAAACGATTAGATTACGAAGAGTTTAAAAGTATAAGAAAAAAAAAAGAAAATTATACGAACGTTCTCTTGCATAAGAAAACGAGTTGGAAAATTCGTAGGGATTTTTTTCTCATGCTATTTCATTTTTTTTAATTTTTTTTTTTTATTAACGAAAGTAAAGTTATCTACGCTCGACTACTTGAAAATACAGTAACGCTTTTAAAATACGCAAATGGAAATGGAAGAGCTAAGAAGAGCGGAAGAAGAAGAAGAAGAAGAAGAAGAAGATGGGAACGGTGAAAGAGGTGGGAAAGTGGGTGGTAAAGGTGTGGGTGGTGAATCGATGGAGAATAAGAACAACGGGACAAGGGGAAAAAGGAGAAAGCGTCTTTAATCAAAGAACGAGTTATCGTCAAGTTGTCAAGGGCTTGGAATGAATAAGAAATAACGCGTTCTCGTTCATCGCAGGTACTTACGAATGTAAATTTCTCATTCCATTTCTTTCTCTTTTACCATACATTTATCTTCATCCATCTTTTACTTTCTTTTTTCTACTTGTTTCTATCTCTTTGACAGAAAGAACAGAAAGAAAAAAAGAAACATGAAATAGCGAAAAAATCTGTTCGTACAATTTGATAAAATTTACAATTAATTTCAATGAAGAAATATAAATATGTTATCTTTTAAAATTATTATTTTTTGTATATTTGAATCTATTATAAATATTAGTAATATATTGAAAATATATATTTTAAGATAAATATTAATATAATAAATTGTTAAAACAAAATCAAAATCAAAATCAAATCAAAGATCAGAATACTATAGGTACATCTAAATATGAAATCTATTTGTAATAACAATTAATAATAAGATAAATGACTATAGAATATTGTATGATAAAAATTTGAGGTTATGTGTTGGGTTTGTGTCAGAGTTGCTTAAAAAAAAATTTAGAGCAAAAATCATAATGCATTAAAAACAAATAAATAAATATATATATACATGTAAAAAAAGGAACGGGAATTGAATAAAAATATTTGTTATCTCGATGATAAATAAAATAATAATAATAATAAACGAATAGAAACGTTGGGGTATTGGAGAAATATGATAAAAATTTGATACGTATGATAACTTCAAGGTTTCTTTTTATGTCTATCAATTGTAACGTAATTTATTATACTGTTGAGTATCACAGCAGAGATAATGAGAAGTGGATGCGAGTAGTGAAGATGGGAATACTATAGTACGAGGAAAATTCGTATCTCTCCCCTTTTTGCATTAACGTTTATGGTACTGGTGGGATGTAGAGGAAGTACGAAAAGGTCCGACTACGCGTAAAGTGATATACTGAAATTCCGTCACGTCCCTTTTGCTAGCAACTACTACTTTCCTAAACCCCACCCCCATCGTGCTCGTTCGCTCGCATTATTGTGTACTTTCATTCGCAAGAATGTTGAAAATAAAGTTTGACTTTTGGAATAGTGTCCGAACAACTGACACCACTGTGTCACTACTCAATTTCATTTTTAAATATTCATATTATTCATTTGAATTATATTATATAACGAGTTATATGATTATTATTCTTTCTAACATTTATTTATTTTTAAACGTTCATTCTACAATTATTATTTAATTGTGATATGAAATTAATGTGTTTTAAAAATAAACAGAAGTTTCAATCATTTATTATAGTTTGTAATAAATTAGATAGAAAACAAACCTATAGAATAAATGTTAATTAAATTTATTATAAAATATATTTGCTGTATAAATAAAACTAATAATGAAACACGTTTTTTTAAATGTTCATTCTACAATTACCAATTCTTTGTGATATGAAATCAATGTGTTTTATAAATAAACATACATTCCAATCATTTATTATAATTTCTAATTAATTAGATGGAACAAACCTGAAGAATATAAATGTTAATTAAATTAATTATAAAATATATTTGTGTGTGCTGTATAAATAAAAGTAATAATGAAACACGTAGGATATGTAGAAGGGGGTTGAAAGTTGAACGATAAGTATCATAAGGAATAGTAAAAAATGTTTGATAACGATCGCCAAGTTTCGGCCTTTTTTGTTCACGTCATTTACACAAAATCCATGCTCGGGTGGACAACAAAGGACGAAATCTTTTGTGAAAGGCGTCGGATTCAAATCTCTCTTAACGTTTCTGACAAGACCCAAGCATTGAATCACTCCTAGCTTGAAAAAAGAAGTTGAAGATTCAAAGGGGTTACCATTCCCATCTTATCCATGAATTTATGTATGTGTAGGTGTGGGTGGGGGATGCAAAAAGGGGGAGAAAAAAATCTTTCAGATGATATTTTTCTTTATTCCTATACGTCCTTAATTTTTTGTTGACTTTGACGTTCATTTTGTTTATTCAATTTTTAAAGATTTACATACATTGTACATTGGTAGTACAATAAATAATTTAAATAAAATATTATCATTCAAATTTTGTCCCAAATTATTCGTATTATTATTATTATATTGCAAATTAGAAACGTAGATCATTTTTATTTCGTTTTAGAACGATTTTGTTTGGCCCTCATACGTTTTTGTTTATTTGCTTGGTTTATTCGTTCGAACAAATCGACGAATGATTATCGATTATGGTCTAGGATGCAAAGAATTCAGGTGATTCCAACTGAACACAGGAGAGAAGAAAAAAAGGAAAGAATAGGAAAGGAAAGGAAAGAAAAGGATAGGACAGGAAAGGAAAGGAAATAAAGGAAAGCTAAGGTAAAAGAGGAAAAGCTTGTAAAAGTTCTTTCGAACGATTTCCCAAAGGACCTTCCTCGATAATTCAACGTCCTTGTCGTGTCCCTAGTACCAAAGGAATTCAAGTGTCTTGCTTAAGGCATAGAAAGTATTATAGGAAACATCAGTCTCTTACTTCCTTCTTTCTCATTCTTTCTTTCTTCCTATTTATTCTCTTGTTTCTTATTTGAAAAGAAAAAGAAGACAAATTAAAAACAAAACAAAAAACGTTTAACGAGTATCCGCCAAATCACCGTTGTTTAATTATTTGTTTTTTGTTTGTCTTCTGTAAAACAGATAATATCAATTAAACAGTAATACATCGGAAATTAAATCGTACGAATATACAATGAACAAAATCTACGAACAAGACAGTAGAAAAGAAATCATTGTCTAACGTTACGGAATAAAATCATTTATCTTATTCTTTTTAATTCGTACGTTGATGAGAGAAAACACACTAAAGGTATTCTAAAAAAATAAAAAAAAAACGTCTAGTTGTCTTGTAGAAGATTTACAACCTCACTTGGGTTACAGGACGCCCTCTGTGTATAGGGGAAAAAAAATACACCAAATAAAAAAGAAGAAGAAAAAAAAGAAAAGAGATAAAGAGATTTCGTTTGACCTAGTTTCTAGGGATTCAACAATGCTGCTGTTGCTGCTGCTTTTATTTATATATATATATATACACACATATATACAATACATTTTATAATTTTTTATTCCTTTCTTTAGGACAAAGGGGAGAAAAGAAAAAAATTCGTTCATGTTGATTTCACTAGGATCACGCTAAATACAAACACACATATACACACACACGTACGCTTACATATACATTTTTTTTTGTCCCTTCCCCATGTAAATATGTATACGAGTATATGTAACGTTTTGATATTGCGTGTGTATATATGTGTATAAATATTTGTATTGTATTTGTTTATTATTTTACTTGTTATTTTTTTCTTTATGGGAATATAACATAGGAACAAGTTGCACGCAGACATAGGAAGAGAAATGGGTTTAGATTGGGTACTAACTCGTTGTTAATTTATCGCCTAGCGTGATCGATAACTATTCTAGATCGGTATTCTCTAGATCGTTATTCTCTAGATCGTTCGACGCGTATTCGGGGCTTACCCTGAAAAGAAACACTTCGAATGGCTAGGACAAACTACCCCTGGTAGTATTCTCCTCGATCATAAATCGAATCTAGGTATGTGTATGTATTTGAATTAGTGTATGTACATATATCTACTTTACTACTACTACTTTCATATATATATACAAATACCCATGTGTAATGTGGGGTTGAGTTTCCACACTGTAAAGTTGCACACTGTAAACGTTTCTAAACGTATTATTCGATATCTTTCTAATCTCTATCTACGATTTAATTCATTTATTCTCTTGTTTTATTTTTTATTTTTATATTCGATTATAGGAATAAATCTTTTTATTGAATTTATTGATTCATTTCAAAAAATGTTCTCTTCAAATTTGTTTTATCGTTTAAAGAATATTTATATTAAAATGTATTTTGTGCGAGATTGTTTAAATTTCTATACATTATAATTAGTGTGTTAGAATATTTTATAAGTTTATAGAATTTTTGGATTTTATTATTTTAATTTTTTATTTTGTCGCAACTAAAATATTTCACGTTACACGATATTCCATGTTTTAAATTATTCTTATTATTAGTTGTAGCAATCAATGAATAATTTAACTATATTTTCTTTTC